ATATTATACATATATAAAAAAAAAGAAGACAACCTTTTACCTCATACTATTTCTATATTGTTCTGCATTTTAAACGATACACATGCGTATATATGTATATTGTATAGCATAAGTGATTAATTAAAAAATGAATCAAATATTATAAATTAATATATATATATTTCTCTATACCTAAAGACAAAGACAAGGAATATACTTTTGTGTACATATACTTTTGTTAAAATGGTACAATATATTGTGCGTTAAAAAAGAAAAATCATCACAGAACAGAAACAATATACAAAAAAAAAAAAAGAGTTGAAAAATAAATAGAGCACAGTAAGCAAGAGTGATTTCGTGAATAAACTCATATGCCTTGAAAATATAAATATTTTTAAAAAAGGGTTCAAGGTGATTGTAAGCCAAAATTTATGAGTTGTCTCGAAAATTGTAAGCTCCGGCTATAAAAGTAAAGAGACAAAAATTTTCGAGCTCAATATTTGATTTTAATAAACCAAAGTTAGTCAGCCTCTAAATAAAAAATACCGTATTTATAAGAAAAACAGTTGAGCAACGACAGGCGCGTCAAGAAGAAAAAAACGGCCGTGTGCAAGGCCACGAGGTCACCCGCCTGGGACGAGGCCATGTCGTTCAACGTGCCCACCTCGGCCCTCGGCTCATCCGCCATCGAGGTGCGTCCACTATTTCTTTTCTCTTTTTTTTTTAGGTGCAATGTGTGTGTGTGTGTGTCAGTCACTTTGCTACATCATCATCTTACTACTTACACTCGTACATGAATGAATAGGTAAGTAAAACAGTGACAAATAATTAATCGTACGTCCAACAGGTGGAACTTGACTGATCTTCAATTTTTCTTTATTATATTTTGTTGTCTTGTGTACTTGTGTATTGCATTGAGAAGAACAAATCGCTGGATTTCCAGATATGCGTGGTGGACTCGAGCAGCGAGGCTGCGGGTAACGACGCGATCATAGGCACGTGCATAATAGGCCCCGGTATAGCCACGACCTCCAACTACGACAACGCCCCGAACCCGAGTCGTGAACACTGGCTGGTCATGGCCAACTCGCCCAGACAGACCATCTCCAAGTGGCACGTACTGCACTGAACCGATTATATTCCCCCACCTTTGCTTGATTGTCGTAAATATATATAAATACCCTCCGCCCATGGTGTAAGCCGTGAGATGACGAAGCAACAATCACTTTTCTATCAGCATATAACATATACGTATNTAAAAACAATAAAAAGAAAGATTTTAATTAAATGTTGAAAGTCGAGAAATTATAACAGAAAAACAGCGCAATCCGTCAAAAGAGAGAAAAGTAATTATATTTCATGAAAATATAAAAGTCTATAACTATTATGTATAATAATGTGATTAAAAAAAGAGGATGTGAGGAAATGGCAAAATTTAAAAGTAAAGTGTGAGCCTCGGACTTTGAAGAAAAATGACGTATATGTCTTTAGGTAGTGTTATGAAGGAGAAAAAAAGAATTTGAAAAGGATATTAGCTACGAGGTAAATAGGAATTATAAATATATATATTTCAAATTCAACAGATGATGTCAAAGTGTGTGTGATATGTGCATCAAACAAAAATTTTTCTCGTGGCATGTATGTATACGTGCATACGGTGTACCTTTCATAATTGGCGCGAAATAAAGAGAAATGTGCAATTTCCATTTGATTGTGCAAATTTGAGTGTACACCAAATACTGTTGTTTAGTTTTTTTCGCACCCAAGTCTTAGATTTAATTATCCCTCGACGTCCCGTACAGACGTACGTTTTTGCGGAGAAATCGCATCATTTCAGTAATACTCGAGAAAAATTGACATGTTTTTTCGTTTTGTTTTATATAACTATTTTTTATTTTTCATTATTGTATTTTTTTTCTTGTTGTTTTCTTTTTCCTTTATTCTTTTTCAAGATCCTTGCGGTATTTTAAGTCAAACTTACCAAAAACATACATAGTATTAAACACAATTGTATTCGTTGGTTAAACTTAAGTACAATCATATATCATAGGTACTATATGTACTAATAATAAATTAATTAATTTTCTAACGAACCGAAATATTGATGAGATAAAAACTGCATGGTAATACAGTAGTCCATTTTGACCAACTGATAGTTATGGAATATATATATGTATATCGTACGTATGTACGCATATGTACATGTGTAACTGGCTAGCAGCGATTGTGAAATGTGAAATACACTGTGTTATACCATTCCGTTGTTTCAGTGGTATACGATTCCAACGTTCCTATTGTACCATTCCATATTTCCTGTGTTATAGGGTTATTCCATTCCAACGTTCCTATGTTATGGGGCTGCTGGGTTGTACCATTCCGACGTTCCTGTTACACCATTCCATCGTTCCTGTGTTATAGGGTTACTGGGTAATACCATTCCAACGTTCCTACTTTATTGGGTTATGCTATTCCAACGTTCCTGTGTTATATACTATTCCGTTTATGAATTCCGCAATCGTCGCCAGCCAGTACGTTACATACAATACAATACGGAAGACATAACCCAATAACAACGTTATAGCGCTACTGTCGATTTACTGGTACGTGTTCCGCTATCTGGCCAGTAAAAAAGCAGACGACGTCGGTCTACACTTTTTCGTGAAATTTTCTGACGTTCGGTCGTCTGCTTTGTTTTGATTATAATCAACTTATATATACCTATATATTATCGTATACGATCAGAAAAAGTCACGAAAAAGTAAAAAGAGCAAGGAGACCGACGTTGTCTGCTTTTCGACTGGTGAGATTGCGGAACACATCACCAGTAAATCGACAGTAGCGCCCCCCATCACGCAACATTGTGACGTCGTAACTGTCTGCAGGTCTGGCGGCGATTGCGGAGTATGTAGATACTATATAGATATACACCCGATACATCCAAAAAAGAAAATACAGACGACAGACAGTGTGGTCTGCTGCAATAATTGCAGTCAAGAGGGAGGAATCGGAGCAAGGGTCCTAATATCGCACCTTGCGCTCCGATCCTTTCGAGCGACAAAAATCTAAGTAAACAACCGAGGAATATCATATACCCATGCAGCGCGCGAGTCCATGATATATTGTTTATTATTGTTTAATCTACAACCAGCCGAGGGCCGCAACTGCAATGGAGAATAACCCAAGGAATCCTTTGATGCGCTTTATCATGTCCGTTTACGAAATGATCGACGGACCGGTGACTTTTTTCCGAGGTAAGCTTATACCGACGTGCACTTATTATCTAATCGTCGGCCCAGCAATGAACTCTTCTTTTTTTTTTTACTTTCTTCGAAAGAGAGATGAAGAGCAACTGACGTTAGGTTAAGTTACATAGGAGCTAGCGCTTTACGTGGTTGATATATATGTTCGTTATTCGTTGAAATACTCATTGTACGTTGCAGAGAAAATCGTCGAGCCAAATCAACAACACTATCCTTACTACCACCAAAAGTTTCGCCGGGTGCCTACCATCGATGAGTGCGGCACCGATGATCCTATGTGTGAGTGGGAGGCTCAGCAACAGTTCGATAGGGACCAGTAAGCTGACCAAACGATGTTCATCTAATGACATGAGCTTCATTTGTCTACAGTACTTTGGCTTTTGCAGGATGGTTGACAACGAGATACTCAGTATCCTGAGACAGCGACACGAGCACTGTGTCAATGAAGATAATGATCAAAGAGAGGGTCCCAAGTGTGAAGCCATCTACGAGTACTACAAGCAGGCTGAGGCTAACTGGTTTGGAAAGTGTACGTAATAGTGTCAACGTTTTTCTCTATTGCTGTTGTTAAAATTCATTATATTCCAATGTAAACCAAGGTTGTTTGATGATGGTTCTTGCAGATGGTGATCTTGGACCCACACCCAAGGTAACTGCGGCCTTCATGAAGCAGAAGCATCGCATGGTGTGGGAACGCAGACACGGCCCTATCGGCTCGGGCATGAATGAAGAGTTCATTGAAAAATTCCCTCTGCCAAAGGAGAACAAACATCTTGTTGGTAACTTTGACGAACCAAATTACCTTCAGACTTATAAAACAGAAGATGGCAAAGAAGTGTTCAAAAAATACAGACCCAGACCTTGCTTCCCATTGTACGAGGATGATGGATACTGGGATTAATCAAAGAAGTTACCTGTTGGGATTAGTTCATGTACAGTTTTCTCTTTAATAAATTAACATTATTACCAATATTACTCGTAATATCACTGCTGGGCTTTAGTAAGTAATAATAAATAAAAAAATTACCATTGTTTACTTTCCGAACGAAATTTATCTCTTTATTTGATTTTGTTTCATCTTTTTTTTTTTTTTTTTCCTATTGTACGATACAACGTATAAATATAAAAATATCTAATTTATCGCATTCAGTTTGTATTTTAATTAGTGATCCACATATTTTCTCTTTTTTGTTCGGCTCTTTGTGATTTCCATCAAATATTTTTTAATATACTTTGTTCATTGACTACAATTATCAAAAAATAAAAGATATTCTAACAAAATTTGTTATATGCAAGTAGCCGCCCGTATATTACAGTGAAGAACTTTTATCTCTTTATTATTTGATTGAAACGATAAAATTCGAGACTCAGCCACAAGTGGCAATTACGAGTTTGAATAAAATATATTACGAGATCGCAACTTACAAACTAATTAAATCATTATAAACTTATAATAATTAAAAAGATGCCCAACAAATACAAAACATTTAATAAATCATCGTATAATAAATAAATAAGCAGAAGTAGAAATGATGATTTTCTTGGCTTTAACTTTTGACAAAATAATAACGTGTTTAATTAAGTCAAGAGTGGTTTAATATTTGTAAAGATTGCATAAGATTATAAAAACAAACTTTTCTAGTAATCGAGAATAATTTACGAGATAAAATAATTTTACTTAAAATCCATATCATAGTGTAAATAAAAATTTTGTACCAGAAATCATAGGATTCGAGGTATACAAAATACTAACTAATGAACATGCTCTACAGTTAATAAATTATAACCAAGAAAAATATTGCGAAATAAAAATTGAGCGGTAAAAACATTATGTGACGTGTAATTAAGACTTAATTTAATTTAATTTCTTTTTTATTTTTAGTCTGAATATTCTCGAATACTAGCATGAATAGTTTATTTCGTAACACTTTTATGATGCAAATTTGATATGAACTCGGTTCACAACATGATATTGTTTTATTTTTTTCTTCAAATTTTATAGATTAAAGGAATTTCCATAACTTGATTTACAGTAAAAAGCATGTAAAAGAAAAATATAACTTGAATATGTTACGGGGATCTAAGGAGATCAATTCAAATCACAAAACTATAAGCAAAATGTTAGAGCTGCATTTGAGGCATGACATTTAATTTTTGGAATTCAATTATGAAGTTGCATGTTAACTTAAAATATATGGACAACTACGAAATCTTACTAATCTAACGTACATACACAAACACATTCACATCAAACAATTTTTAATTTTTTTGCTTCTTTTTTCCGTGTCTCGCATTATTATGACTTCTTAAAAATAAAATACTTTCTTTTATTGAATCCTTTTTAAAATCTATATTAGGTTTCATTGCTTTTCACGACCAAACTACTTATTAATTTCATGTAATAAGGAAAAGTTTTCTGGTTCGAAGGGCTAAAGGTTTCTTATATTACTGTTACATAACCATTCAATTGTTTGCAATCATTCCACGAATAGATGTTTTACAATATACAGTAAAATGAACCTAATGAGAGATTTCTCCGCGATAATCCACCAATTTTAAAACAGCACAATTTTTCATTTTGATTGATATTTCGCTTGGGGCTTTGTAAATAAAATTAAAAAGAAATATTGACAATTTGAATATTTTCTTAAAAAGAAAATACCTTATTTTTCGTGATAAAAATGTGTTACGAGCAATATCAATCTATTACTAAAATGGATTTAAAAAAAAAAAAAAAAAAAAAAAAAGTTTATAAAACATGAAGGATGTGCTTATTTTAAAACTGCTCATTCCAAGTTCTTACGAATTGTTTTGTACAAAAATATTTATATCACAGACGAGGAAATGCTATACGCGATCCAGAAATACTACAGCTTCACTAGATCGACATAATAAACTAAAGTAATCGCTCGTGTAACGACTTTACAACAATATACACATCGACGGTTACTACTATAGTAATAAGAATAATCGTTTTTGTGATGCATGACTTCGTGGGTAATACAGAGGTAAAATATCTTTTATGCAAGTAATGAATCGTCTGTTCACCGCGAGTACTTAATAACTCAAATTAATAACATGCGCACTTACGCTTGGGCGCGTTATCGTATCGTAAATCGGTCTGACGCACGCAAAAGTAAGGATTGCGTGAAACTCGCAAGTAGTTCGGTAACCTTATGAATCAAAGGGCAGTTGGTTGAACTGTGCAGCCAGACGGCACTTACCATGGAACGCTAAAAACATTTTAAAAATCCCGAATATTCAAGTTTTTCTCTTACGATCCCATAAATCAATCGAGCTCAGATTCAAACATATTTATACTTACAGCGTTTGGTAGGTGTAGTATCAATACTGTTGTTTTGTTCAATGCTAGAGTTCTCCTTATTCGAGTTATCCCTAGATGTGATAGGTGAGCTGGAGAAGCTAGCACTATTTTCTGACGTAACGATAGCGCTATCTTGTTCTTGGGGACTGGCCGTTTTTTTCGGTGTGAAAGACAGCGATGGCAGTGGCAGTTCTGACGGATGTGGAGCAACCACAACGTTGTGCTTGCTACTGAAGAAGGGAGAGACACGAGGATTGAACGGATTTGCAGTCGCTGGCAGGAGACTTTTTGTCGGTGAAATCAAGTCCGATGCTTCGATACCTGACATTTGTTTCAATGGTGACAAAGTCAATGGAGGCATCTATAAAAAAAAAAACAAATGTATTGCAGTGAAAAAAAAAATGCAAGGTATTGGGAACCTACATCGAATTTTGGAGGACTAGACCATATCGAAGACGACTGCCAGCAACTCATCTTGTTATGCGAGTCCTCTGGAGAATCTGGCTTTGGTGGAGGAGGAGGGAAAGTACTGCCTACTTTCTCGAGATTCTCGAAGAAATTGTTACTTCGACTTTCCAGGCCAAACCACTCTCGTGGCTCGTCTGTCTTGTTTTTGTTATTAGGAATAGTCCAGTGACTTAATTTTGACTCCCACGTATTTTGGTCTTTACTCCAAGCCGATTGTTGTGAGATGGCGTTCCACTTGGAATTTTCGTTCAAAACCGGTACATTAGAATTGGTTACTACCGGTACTGAATTGGTTAATTCTACTGAATTCGAGTAGTAACCATTTTCAATGGAATCATTGCTAGAGTCTGTATCCTGATAAGTTGAGGCGTATGTTTTCGGTAGTAACCCAATGGCTTGAAAAAACATTTTTTTTTTTTTCAAAAATAAATTTTTCCAACTAGGTAAATATCACCTATGCAATTAAATTTTTAACTCACCACTAAGTTTCCTGTTTAGATGAATAACTTTTTTTCTGTGACGAATATCTTTAACGATGACCGTGCACGGTATAGCACGAAGAGCTGCATAGAGCGTTGAGTAGCCGTACTGAGCACTTCTGCAAGCAGCTCCGATAACTTTGAGGTATGCTGCCTCGAACTGCGACATATTAATTTTTCCATTATGGGCTATAAGTACACGCTGCACGTCGCAGGCAAAACGTTGGATAGGCGTTAATTCGATAAAGCGATCGTTGTTTTCGTTAGAAATCTGTAAAAATGACATATATATGTAGATACGCATCCATATTATATGCAATGGAAAATTAGCATAAAGATATTTACTTTTACAAAAGACTCCAGGCTGTGAGAGTATTTTTCTATCATACACTTTTTGTTAAAAAATTTCTCGTAGCATTGCTCGAATTCGCCAAATGGCATGCGATTATCGGCCGCATCCATTAGTACTCTACGACACTCGAGTCCTAGCTGTTGAATATGGTTCTTGTCTATCGATACGACAGCGACGCCATTTTTTGTATTCACAATCTGCAAGTCAAACAGCACAGTTTACATTTAGAAATTATACGTTTGTAAATTGAATATTGTAAATAGTTTTTGATAACACGTACTTTTACATAGCCATGTAGCTTCTCCATCAAATGCAGTATAGAACTGCAATTGAACAGCTCGGGGTGTAAAGCATACCCGAAATCCTCAAGGAAAACTTTAGCAATACTCGAAATCATAAGCTGACCGTTCGAGTCAGCGTAACGAGAGATCAGCTTGCTCATCTGTTCACCAAGTACGTGTATCCCTTCTTTTTCGGTGAGGAAAATTTTTCGATCCTCTCCATTGCCTTCCTCAATTTTAATGATTTCCGGGATAGCCTCGAACAATTCGATAAGTTTCGTGAAACCGTAGTCCGAGACGCGACATTGATGGCCAAAGTGGTGGTGATAGGAAGGCACAAATTTATTGAACAGCATTCGCTGTTGAGGTGCGTGTTTTAATAATTCAACCACCTGCATAATAAAAAAGGGTATTAGAGTTTGTTACACTACGATTATTTTATAATTAGGTATTTTATGCTAAATATTTGTGCACCTCTGCTGCAAATTGTTTGGTTCTTTCAATTTCATCACCAGTCTGTTCTCTCTTGGGAATGGAAATCACGCGATCTTTACCATCCTTACTGCCGGTAACTACAACAATGTTCTCAGATACCTCGCCAAGGATATCGTCTATATTGCATACACCATAATCGGCGATATCCCATGGTTTACCTAAAAATGAACCAAATTTAAATGAACGTTTGCACGCGATGATAAAAATGTAACAATTAATAATACTTGCCTATTACACGAGCATATACACCAGGGAATTCCGTAAGTGTCACTTGTTTACTGGCTTGAGCTTTCAAGACACGAAGAAGATCGGACGTAAAACGACGCACTTGAGCTCGATGAGATAAAGTTACGATTCGCTTGTTACCCTCACCCATTACCTGAATATCACAAATTTAAATAATAAAACTTATCACGATGCATAAATGCATATTTTACTAATCTCACAAATTGGTAACTTACAAGGACTGTGTTAGATAAGGCCTCTAATAAATCAATCAACTTAGTGAATCCATAATCTGCAACCCTACATTGCCTACCAAAGTGATGATGGTAGGCTGGAATGAGCCGATTAAATGACAGCTGACAGTGTGGAGCAGTTTTGAGCAAATCGACCAACTCGCGACTGAAGAAAGCTAACTGGTTTGCCAAAGGCGAACTGCTTCGTTTATTTTCTGGGAAATACAACCATAATTGTAACGACAATGAAAAAAATTTAACTATCGTATTAAAAATTATGATTACCGTCTGGGTTGTCGTCCTGCTCCTTATTAGTAGCCCAAACAATATGCTTTTTTCCACAACCCAATCCTTGCTTTATCTCAACAGTTGGTAAACAGGAAATCAATTGTTCAAGAGGAACACCATTTTCATCAATCTCAAGGGGCTCGTTAAACTCAGCGTTGTAACAACATGGGAAGCTACAATAACAACGGATATTTCATAAAAATAAACTGGTAAAGCATGATTAAAGTGAAATCATTAAAAAATTACCTCATCAGAGGCAAAATTTCAGAGTGAGTTGATAACAATTGGTGAACTCTTTCGGAGAGTAACTTCAATGATATTTTTACATTAGGTAACGAGGCCATCTCTTGTTCTGCCCAGCCTTTATTTACCCAAGGTTTCTGAGCATGAATCGTGCAATAAGGTAGTTCCAAAGATTGCCCATCCTGTAATGATACGGTTCACTTAAGCACTAGAAAATCTTAAAATTTTAACCATTTCTACTCAAACATAGTTCAGAAGTAATCGCTTTCGGGTACTATAATCAAGATCATCAATTGATTAGGGAACTAAGGCTCAACCAGAAAAATTGACGATTCAGACTCGGCCTTGTTTCATCACATTAAACGGTCGCGTAAAAAAAAGGGTTGATTTTGGACTCCTAGATTAAAATTATGACTTAAAACTCACCAAAGTTGTATTCAAATTGGGCGAGGGTGTGTTTCGATGATCGGGATTTAATGATACCATTCTTCCGCTCGGATCATCCGTAATAACGCATACATCCTTCATCTTGTACAATTCTGACATGCCAATCGATACCATGAATCTACTCTCAAACATCTCGCGGAATTTAAAAAGCGGCAGCTTGTGTTCCGGTACCTCTTGCAACAGCATAACTATCTGGGCACGAATAATTTGTGGATTTGGTCCACTCGTGTGCACATATGATATTAGGATACGCTTGTGACCAACTTTGCGACGATGCAACTGAGATATCGCGTATTGTGCCTCAGACAGCGAGGGCACCTTGACGGTTGCAGCGAAATTACCATCCGAGTGTACGGTTATGGAGATCTGAAGTACCTGAAAAAGTTGAGAACAAGTTATAGCTTGATATTATTTCACGTTTAATTTTTTTAATTTTTTCATCATACTAACCATGACATGCTCCATGAATAAAGAGGAGAGATAGCGTCTCATATCTTTAGGGTCAATGTTTTGATCCAAGTTGGTAACTTGAAGCTCGATTGGAGTACAATTACCATTGACAACTCCATTACTATTGCGACTACTGATGGGACTGAAAAAGTTCTGAAAAAATTTTTAATTTAAATTTATTTTCCCAACTGCCGACGGTTGTCAAAAAAGGACTACATTTTCTGTAGTGAGTATTGTTGGAGAAGCACATACCTCAACTTCTTCACTTTCAGAATTGCTCTGTCTGAAAGGAGAGACATGATCAGATCTCTTTACTGAGCCAGGTAAAGTAGACATGGCTTCATAAGGTGATGGAGTTCTATCTCTTTTTCTGTTACCACCAGAGTGCCCCTGCTAAAAAAAAAAAAAAAAAATACATTAAAAAAAAGTTGAAATTTCACACCAAAAGACACGAAATAAATTAATACGATGTTTTAATGAATACCTGGCCATTCCAATGATTACCATCCTGACTAGCTGGAGCAAACATTGGAGATGGAGTTCGCAATTTATGAGTTGAAAAATTTAATACTAAAAAAAAAAAAAACATCAACTCATACGAATAATGAGACATATACGAAAAATATTTTGAAACTTACTCGAGTTGTTTGAGGTATTGGCAGACCATGGTGGTCTAGGTGGATTCCAATCGGATTGCTGAGGATATTGTACATTTCTGGCAGGTAGAGGGCCCTTAACTGTTCGGAAGTTGGATGTTTCAGGAGTAGAAAACTCACGAGCCTAAAGAAATATAATAATGTTTGATCATACAGGTAGATGATTGTTTCTTTCAAACGTAAATAAAAATAGTAATCTGTTTTCACTCTAATCTCTGTTGAACTTTACCTTGGAGCGATCATCCCAATAGCGATACAACTGCTGTTGCTGTTGTGGATTCGACATTGGCCACATTTGAGGCGACTGGCTTCTGACGCGCTCAGCATACGATCTGGCCGGGTCGTTCGGGAGGTATCCCATCACGAAAGCCGGAGGTGGCGGGAACACCCCACTGAAATATAAAAGTATAAAAATCAATTTTGTTGCAACGGAAATTTAATTTTCGCGGATTTGGTGATTAAAATTCGTTTCAGATAAGATCAAAGCTTCTATGATTCATAGCCCGAATCGAGGCAAGGACTCGTGAAAACAAATCAACTCGCAACGACTCAAGAGCTCAATCTCGGTGTATCATCATGAACGCGGGAAATGAGAAAACAACAATGCTTCATAAACGTAAACAGACGCGAGCACAGACCAAAGGGGGAGGGGCGAGAAAATGAGTGTGGAAAATTACTGACCCTTGGGGGGTGTAATACATTCCATTCCAGCTGGAATAATTGCCGACGATTGGTGAGGAGGTCGGGTAGTGCGGAGTACCAGGCAAGCTCCTCGTGCCTGATATCGCGTTGGCCACCCCGTACATTTCGTTAGTGTTTTCACCAACGACTTCTGACTCGCTCGTCGTGCCTTCGCGCACGTTACCGTTGCTACCTGCAAACAGACAATTTCGTACTTGTAAAAATGGTTAACAAAAAAGACATGTTAATGCAATAGCATGCGTTTTCCAAATTAATTAAAAATTATTTCATGGGCTCTTTAATTAGAGAATTTAGTGAACAAATAAAACCATCACCACACCTATCTATTGAGATCGAATAAGTACGTTAGAATATCAACACACACTCAAAGAGTCAGAATGTAAACAAAAGCAAGGTCAAGATGCTTGTGCGAAACGTATTACCTTCTCAATTTGTGAGTATAAAATAATAATAATAATCATACATAGCACGCACAGATTCAAGGCAATTGAAAAACAAATGGCTTACCTTGATCACGAGAATCGGTGCACAAGTCCCGCTCCTTTTCCTTGAGGTATCTCACGCTGATTTTCGAATCGAAAACGTATTCGCCGTGCATACGCTTTTGCGCCCTGCGATTCGCACAGGTGTCATTGACACCAAACAGAGAGTTAAAAGTAGAGAACTACGTATGTGTACAATTAATTAACGGTCGTTTTAAAAATCCCAAACGAATTCAATTTTTGGTATAAAATTAATTCAACTTTATATTCGTAAACAGGTGTAAGTTGTTGAAGTATAGGCGCGTCGCATACGCACAATTTAAAAACAAAACAAAGTTCACATTTGAAAACTTTCAGACAACGTCGGTGACCATCATGTATGAGAAAAAACAAAAAACTAACGAGCTACTAAATTTTCGTATTTAGGTACAAAATTAAAAATCGAAACAGCTGTAAAGTAGCTTGAGTATGCGATCTCGCGCGGCACTCATCGCCGACTGGCGAAATACGAGTTGGCGCGCTATTCCGTTTTTCCCCTCTCTTTTCACCCTCTATGCGCGTTTCGCGGTTAATTTCATGCCCTCTTGGATAACTTGGATGAATTAAAATTTTCACAATTATTGCAGAAGGCTGACTTACCTGTCTGCCGTCTCTTTATTGCTGAATCGCACAACAGCTGAGCTTTGGCGAATTTGGACGACTCGTCCACCACAATTATATGACAATTGCTTGAGCCGGCGCTTTATCCCCATAGCCTCCTTATCCTCGGGCAGGTTGCTGACCAACAAGTCGTATGATTCTCCCATCTGAAATAAAGAAGCAAGTCTTCATTAAATCACAATTCGATGCATTTCGACGATCTTTGGCAGTGGATCCGATGTATTCTAAAATCAGCATAGTGCGAAATCGTTGCACAATATAAATGGACTTTAGACTGCAATTACCTTCATAGGTGTCCTAGAAGGTAGAGATTGGAACAGCTGCGTAAAATCATAGTGATCATCTGCACATAGTATGAGAGCCTCCGATGTATTTTCCTTATGTAACAAAATAACATGTATTTTTTTGCGATGACGCAAGTCACTCAAGTCGGCCGCAAAATTGATATCTCCCGATATCAATATAATAGCGGCGGGGCTGCCATGGGTATCGGCAAAACGTCTAATCGACTGTCTGAGTTTTTCGTCAGCTGCATTCTTACAAGTGGCTGACACGTGAATCAGATTCACTTGAGCGTCATTCAGCTCGTCAATTATCAGTTTGTTCTCTTTCTGCACATCGCACACAACAATGAACTCTGCCTCTTTATAACCATTAAAGAATTTATCCCTTATCACTCTAGTTACAGCCATGGCAGAGCGGCCTTTTGGAACCTGAAAGTAAAAGTAAATTTTCAAGTATAAAATGCAAATTTGGTAATTGATATTATGATTGGTAAAGACAAGTACTCCAACCGCAACCATCTGAATGGCGAATTCTTTGGTTGGCTACTTGTAAAAACAACAACTCACCTGGCAATTTTCTATGTCCCAAAAAACACCTATGGGAGGAAGATAATTTGATGTGAACTTCACTGCTGCGGCAGCTGCGGCTGCAGCCACCACAGCAGCATCGCCCTGGAACAACATTTTTGGCAGCAGGTCAGCTGTGCAGTCTTTTTTTTGCGACTGATCGCCGCCTGCGAGCTTGCTCTCCTCCAGGTTTTCCATGGTGCTTATCACTAGGGCCAAGCGCCTGGCTGTAGGCTGGCTCGGTCATGGGGGTGGCGGCACTCGCAACTCCTTCGAGTTCACTTCTTCACTTTCATGTTTACTGATTATAGTCAAATAAAAGATTTTACGTGTTGTTGTTGTTTTCCTCTTCTGCTGTGCGGATACTGCAAGTGCAGATCTTGTGGCGTTCGAGACGTGTGTTTACACTCACGCACTCTACACTCAACAATGAAATTCTAACCTCTTCCACGAGGGTGTTAAGTGAATCCATGGGCCAAAATCAATAAACAAATACAATAGTCAAATTGTACGCACACAAAGTCATGGGCTGTTTAAAATAGAGTACACTCGTTAAAATCCTTTGTTGTCACGAATTTAAAAACTTCTAAGGGACACAATGCAGCTTTATAAATATATGTATAACACGTCGGGACTCTCGGGGCTAACGGGGGAGGACGCGTGCAAGCATGCGACTGATGCGACCTGGACAGCTGTACATGAGCCCTCTGGTGTGATAAAAAGGAAGCCTGTATCGGTGAGAAAAGAGCATCAGCTGATCCAGCTTAAAAGCGAGGATGGTTGTTCGATTCGTTATTAATTATGCGTATTTTTTGGATCAAATTATGAAAAAAAATCAAGTTAAGACCTCAGACTATTAGATTATAAAAATGTGTGCATCGCTGGATGAGTGAGTGGCAAGTGCGTTTTTAAGTCGGTCGGTCGGTCTAATTACTACCACGGATGTTATCTATATATACAAAGTCTCCCCACCAGTGCGTCGTTCAGTGTACTAATCGCGCGGGAGGCGGGAATGTTTAAAATTTCCAATCGGGTAACTGCGAGAGTTACCGACGTCCGGTATCGATTTTATCGGTAAATTCCTACATCATTAACCAAAGGTACATGTAGTGTCTAATTATAAAAATTGATCTGTGATACCTATAGTTGCAGTTATTTTTGACTTGTTTTTTTTTCAGTTCAGTTAGAGAGGCCTTGTGGAGTTTAAAGTGACAAGGTGGGTGAAAAATTGAAACAAAGTTCTTCATTGCATCAAGTAGAAATGCATCATGTGTTTTTGGTTTTAATGAAAGAAAATTTATTTAAATTAATCATTCCAATTTGGAACGGTATACTGTTCAGTTATAATATGTATAAATGATTTGTTTGTTTACTGATATTTACACCTTTCCAGGAAACATCACTCAGCAGAGGAAATCACTAGTAAAGTGTTTAATCAATCAAAACAATCTTACTCGACATACCCCAACGAATTTGCAAATAAAAAACATGTACGTACGAAACACATAAATAAAAATATATCGCCTGACCAGAACATATTCATAAATAAAACATCTACAGTATATTTAAAGTCAAAGTGATAATTCATATGTTTTTTAGATACTGAATAATAATAAGATGACTAAACTGCAGCATCTGAGACCTCTTCTTTTAAGAACTTCAGCACAATTTCACTACAAGAACAGATTAATGTCAAGAATGTCCCCAGATCAAGAAAGTAGGGATAAAAGCTCAATACCTCGAGATAAAAAGAAAACAGAGCGCCCAATGTACACCCCAGAATCACCTACCAGCCTTGAGGACATCGTCGAACCTACAAATTGTTGTATGTCTGGCTGTGCCAATTGCGTATGGATCGAGTATGCAGAAAAATTGAGTGAATTTTTGAAAGACAGCCCTGGTGATATTCAAAAGCTGATCATGGACAAGATTCAAGATCCCAACATGAGAGCTTTTTTGTCTATGGAACTTAGACTCAGAAAAATCATAGAGTAGTCATTTAAGAGTAAGTACAAGAACAACTTACTAGAGAGAGCTGCTTTGCATAAAGACTCTGTCAAAGTGAAAAACCACAGCACAAGCAATAACAATAACAATCGTTTTAGATTCATGACGGAGGAGCATTGCATCAACGTCAGATGAACGAGAACGCACAAACTCTCGCGGTTGGCCTTGCTCGATGACAACATACATATACATACGTAAAGTATATGTGTCTACTTTGTGCATATTGTACATGTAAATATAAAATATCATCAAGTCATTTGATTTTGCGGACTGATGCAGTTAAAGAAAAAGAAACAAGGTTTTGCACATGTGCACTGCCTTTTTTTCTATGAAATGTATAACGCGACACTCGTGTGAGTGCTCGGTCTTATGATATGTGATATGTTCGATTACAAAGTTGGTATTGCGTACACCCGCTCGCTAAACTGCTATCAGCACGATTGTTATCCGTTGTTAATTAATTAATTTATTTTATTTATTTTTTTTTTTTTATTAACAAACTGAGCACTATTGTTCATATTTCTTTAAAAAAAAGTAAGAAAATATTATAGCGACTACAACTCAGCAGAGGCTTGTAGGCTCGCCAGAAGATACGCGACGGGCATACTTATGAGCGAAAAAGAAGAAAAAAAAAAAAAAAGATAATTTAAGAGCGGAAGAATAAAAAAAAAAGCCTAACTACATCGTGCGATGAGGAGAAGAAGAAGAAGAAGAAGAAGAAGAAGAAGAAAAAAAAAAGATGCCAAAGTATCGCACGGGAGGTGAGTATAGGCAGGAAGGAAAGAAAGAATCCGTGCGCGGCGCTACTTTTGTAAGAACGGCATGGTATATTATGGGTAGCGTGCGGCGTTCAAGGCAGCGGCTATGTCGGAGTTGTTGGTAGTAGCTAAGCGCCAGCCTTCGGGGCAGGATGTGCGATTTTCTGCGCCAGACTGGAACACCAGAACATTGTTGTATAACAGCGTGAAAGACCGTTGGTAAAATGTGCTCAGCGATGACTACATTGGCGACGGCGATGATAAGCGGTTGCTCGCCGGGGGCGATAAGGAACCGCTGCGGCGTCGAGCAGCGCAGAGCGGCCGTGAGGCTGCATCTGATACCGCGGACTTTGTAGTTTTAGTGCGATTGCAAAGTGACATACAAGTACTCTCGTTATGTGTGCTTGGACACCTGTACCCAACAAGTAATAGTTTTTCGATTGTCTGTTCAAGTGAAAAAAAAAAACAACAACAACAACAATTTTTGTAATTATTCATTAGAACACAGTGATATCCGCTCGTAAATGAAGACCGCGCCAAACGACAACAGGCTTACCACTTTGTGAGTGTACTTACCAAGTACCTACTAGTATTTTTGTTTTTCTTTCCTGCTATAATCAGCTGGAGCGTGCATAACGATGATCTCTTTTTTTCCCCGTTTTTTTTTTTTCTTTTTTTTTTTTTTCCTCTTCTGGCTTGGCTAAAAATACATTCGACTTTATCGCCAACTCTTTTATTCCTCTCGTTTTGCATTATTGTTCGAAGAGGCGCGTGAATCATCGATGGGACGCGCACATGATTATAGATTGTTCGGCTCTTGGGTTTTCCAATCCAAGAGAAATAATTATGTACGGATGCAGAATAGAGGCTGCTGTATATATATATATATATGGTGCCTGGTTTTATTTTTACTTCCGACCTTACACTCGCGTGTGAAAGCTCCGCGAGGGAGTGTAAAAATATATGCGTATGTTCTCGGTAGCGCGCACGTGCTGGGCTCCGATACGTTTTGACGCTTATTGCTCAACATTGTCGAATTTTTCAAGATAAGAGAATAATGCAAAGCGAAACGTGTTCAATGATTGACCGTGTGGTGGAAAAAATAATACGCTTCTGTTGACGAAACAATTTGAACGATGTGCAATTAATCACCTAGTCGGTAGGTTGCGTGTGCGTCCGAGGTCTTGAGTTTTTTTGTTTTTTTTTTTTTGTTTTTTTTTTTCCACCATGTTATTTAACAAAACGTAACAAATGAGAGGATATTAATGTTTGCGTCGAGGGGATTTCTGAAGGCACACGCTATACAAATCAACTGTTTGCGAAGTATGAGTTTCATAACATTGCGATTAGATCTCGACGCTTGTATGCCAATAAAGTACTAAAATATCTACCGAGCAAACGCAAACGTCAGAACGATTTTGGATTTTTAATCACTTTCGACTCTCGCATCCTTGTCAATGTAATTTGTGTAACATGTAGTAATAACGATGTGGCGACGGAAGTCGTTTGTAAGACAGAACAAAAAAAAAATCATTACAATACTGGTTCCAGAGCAACGAGTTGTTAAAAAATATATTTTTCAATAAATCAACCTGGGTGTTTTTTTATGACTTCATTAATTCGTACAAACCTTGAGCAAATGTGCTAAGCCGCGTGTGACTCCTTTTTTTAAAAATACATATACGACCTTTACATCAGCCATACCTATATACATCCACCTTGTGGGATTCATAAACATTTTTAAATCCGATCAGTTTCGTAAATATTTTTCCCGTACTCAGCTATCCGACGAAATTACTCGCGCGTACATGATGTGTGAGTTCTCGGGAAAAAAAAAAAAATCACGTTTCCCCTTTTTTTCATTCGAAATTCGATGACGGCACGCAGTCAGTCCCTAGCTATTCCATCGTGTACCGTTAGCTCGAAAATTTGCATGTTCGGTATCGCTGGCGAGCATCAAACTTTTAAATTTTGCCGATTCAGCCCGAGCGCGACGTTTGCAATATTATCTCACCCAAACCCTCTAAATTTTAAATAGTAGTGTGAAAATTTTCACTATAACTTGGTCTTTCAAAAAGCTCATCCGAGTGATCCAATTGCTTCAACCAATAGTATAATAGCATGAAAGTTCCTACAAGATTCAAGTATATAAAAAAGTGGGAAATGGCGAAATCAACTGTAGACCACCACTCAAATTTAACCAGCTGTTGTTGAAGATAAAAAAAAAAAAAAAAAAAAAAAAAAAAAAATAGAATGTCCCTTATTGTTGTCGCTGACGCGCGTACATGTGTATATATTATGTTATACCTCTGCCGCAGCAGGAGCGCATCCTCGAAAGGATCGTGCGACCGAGAGCCGCGAAAGCAACGACTATGTCTCCAACGGGCCTGATCCACCGGCCAAAAGACGATGCAGGTAGAGCGCGAGGAGTCGGTACCCCCGGCCCGGGAGCACCGCTCGTTCTCCACCGGCCAATTGGAGCGAGTTTCGAGCTCCGCCACCGATACCACCACGGCCTGGACCAACAACCACAACAACAACGACGACGACAGACAGGACGATCATCTTCTTCTCGGGGAAGGTGACGCGAAAAACGGCAGGAGGCCCCGAGTCGTGCAGGCGTCCTTCTCCAGCAGCCAGAGGAGGATGGCCAGGAGAAGCTCCTCGGCCGGGCTTGCTTCCAAGCGCAACAACAGCAGGATCAGCTTCCGCGTCGAGTCGAGTGCCCTGCTCAATAGGTAAATCCTATATTGTTTTGTTTCTCGTTGCTTATAATAATAATAATAATGTATTGTGTATACACAATTTATCGAATCGTTGATTTTTTTTTTTTTTTTTCGATACAATTGCAAAAGTATACTAGCTCGCTTCACCTGATGCCAACCGAAGGTTCAAAAGTCTCGGGACCTTCGACGTTTGGGAAATTTTTCCTCCCCAGCCGCGAAAGTCTCGACTTTTTTTTTTTTTTTTTTTATTAGCCGATGAGCTACCTACTTATTTGCACTCCTCGGCCAGATGTACATACATATACACCTACTTAACTTCCGTTTCTTAATAATAAAGGTGTTACCTGTACATACATTATTTATATATAATTGTACATACAGTATAAATTATAGAGTTAAAGAGAGCGCGGGCCGAGAGAACCTTTACGAGCCAGGTATATGTATCACGTTGAGTACTTATTATGTGCATATTATATCTTTGCGTGCCGTACAATCAGGTGCGTGCCCGATTAATACATACTTTTTATGCTCGAGTTTTATCCACGTTTTTACGTGGGTTGATTATACTTAGTTCTGTGTGCACTTGCACTACACAAACGGCTAATCGCCCATATGGGTATATACCTACTCAGGATAGGTATATATTGTTCGGAGGGACGCTTGTAGGTATATTTATGTATTATGATACATCGATGCTTCAACTTAAAAATTAAGATATCAGATTACATGTGTACAACTATACGTGTACTGTATAAACACGCCCGCACACTCTTTGTTTATACCAAGGAGAAACGAGAGGTCGATGCCTCTGGGTGTGAATGAAGCGACGCATAATTAATTGGAATGCGGTTAATTACGTAGATATATACCCGTATGACCTTATACTTATCAGAGATATATAAAAAAAAAAAAAAAAAAAAATTATTAAAAATGATATAATGCATGTATGTGGAGCTGTCGAGCTTTGTCCTATACATTCAAATTGATATTTGGGTCACATATTCCACATATTTTCCATCGGCTTTTAACGAATACATAATATAGTATACGCATCATCGAATAAAAATAGTGATAAAAAATTTTACAGCTGAACCAAATGAGATGTAAAAATAATAACGAGCAGCGAACGCGTTAAATTTCGAGCCTGTTTTTCTGTTATTTCTTTCGCACACCCCGAAAATAACTCTGTGATGAAAATGAACAGTGCAGCCCAGCGTAATATATTTATTGAGGAGTAGGTAGATACTTACGATCGATTTATGTAGAGAGCAAAGTTCACCTATGGTGTCGGGCTTTTGAAAAGTCAGCCGATTCACATGAGATCGGTAACAACCCATTGTTATATACGCGTTTTGTATACGAGTGTGCCAATAAGATTTATTACCCGAATCAGTAGAGAAATCGAAGGTTTTTTTAGCGCATAACTCGAAAAATCGGTAAAACGTACGCATAAAATTTGTAGATAACACCTACATAAATATGTATTATTACATTACAATGTATAGGTATTCATCATCGACCTTGGGTATACATGAAACACGAACAACGTGCTTATATATGTATATAAATATATCCCCGAAGAAGTTGCAGAGACGGTATAGCCAGCACTCTCCGCCAGAGAGAGTATATATTACAGTAGCGGTGGCTGGGGTCCAAGATGATGAGTAGACACCGCCGTCGTCGTCGTCGTCGAGGTATATGAGCGCACAGTGCGAACAAGCCACGGCGCTGTTTTCTCCGACAATCGTCAGTAAGTGCGCGGTGACGACCGGTAGCGTTACACGCTCTCTCTCTCTCTCTCCGCGGTCAAAGCTTTTATTAAGTTGGTGCGACAAGTATCGGTATAATCCACGTACATCCTATTTGAGAGATGTAAAAATATATAAGATTGTATATCGGGCAAAACGAAATGTCAATATAGGGCTACAAATAAGGTGTAGCAAGTGCAGCGTCGAGTATATAGTGACTTGCAGGGTAGTTTTACCCGGATGTGGTGCAAACGGCTGATCTGGATCTTCCTTTGGCTCTGGACAGGCTGTGACGTGTGGCTCTAGTGCACAATATTATCATCAATAGCTTGCACCACTTGCATGCAGAACACACATATAATATTTTATCATTGTTGTTGTTGTTGTTGTTAATATTATTATTTTTACGTCTTTGTTGAGGTGAACAATGTGAATAACCCGCGCAACATATACAGCATAAGGCAAATATAAACCGGAGAAAGAGAGATAGGTAGAATATACATATTATGGTGTACCTGTAACGTGTACCACCGTAACCTGTGCTAATATTGTATATATATACCTACTGGTGCTCTTGGTGGTGCGGGGTGCATCTTATATGGCTGCGGCTGAACTTTCGCTGGGGGCCATCATCGGCGTCGGGCTGCTATTTTTACGGCGGACTCGCGCTATTATTGGCGAGACCGGCCCTCGGCGTTCTACCGACGACGACGGCTCATTTATTTACACACCTATACCTGCCGACTGAATCCTCATATTTTTTGTTTTTACCATAATAAGTACATATTATTGCACGCACGAGTCACCACGCCATATATTATATATTACAATTGTCGCGTAAAGTGCGCGTGTGGGTTATTTTCTCAATTCGTATAGTAAGTATATCCTTGATAAACGGAGGTGTAAATAATATTGTAAATGAAGGATGAGCCACGGTGCGCGGGTGCCGTTTGAATTTTCGCGAAGCCGCGGAGAGACGAGAAACGGTTGCTGAGTTGTACGATATGAGCGAGATGGAGATGGTGCGGGTGGCCGGTGATGCTGTCGTGGTCCAGCAGGAGGAGGCCCCGCTTCCAACTCCTTCGCAGCATCACTACCTGGGCGATCCGGGGATGACGCTGGCCGGCTTGAGGAGGGCCATTTCTCAGGTGTCGATGCTCGTGGTCAAAGCAACCAGCTCGAGCGAGGCTGCCTGGCGCGAGGAATGCCAAAAGTATATATACATGGGCAACTTGTGCAATTAACAATACGCCATGTTTTTCTTTTTTTTTTTCTTCCCCTCCCCACCCACCCCCCGAAAAACTAGAGCAAATTCGTTAAAATAAAGAGTTCGTTTTCGGCTGATGCAGACCAGAGCTTTTCTGGCAGCCCCTAAATTATACACACACACACACGATCACATATCTATACATACACTTATGTGCGCGTGTATAAAATATACACGTATAGAGCGAGCCGAAAAAGTCCGATGAGCCATGCACCTCGTGCATTTCTTCGTACTCGTTGATACGCGCTTACGCGAATCATCGATGGGTTACACGGACTCGTTACCGACACAATATACCCATCATCCATACCCGCTACACCGCGACATAAGACACAGGTGGTCGTGTACTAATGATGTAATTTCCCTGTAAGAGCATAAATTATCAAGATAATTCTCTAATAGCTCACACGGGAATACGGGCCAGTGATCTTTTTTTTTTTTTTTTTTTTTTTTTCATTCGCAAACGAGGTGCGAAAGCGCTTTACGTATACGTGCAGCTGTGGACTGCAGTATACATGTAATAGGTTCTATTTCAAGCTTTACGTGTTTCGATATTATATCCGCGTGAGCAAGACTAATGGCGGGAGGGGGGGGGAGGAAAGTATATATATATATAATGATGTTATGTGGTGGTAAGTGGATGCGTGGCGTAATTTTGCGAAAAAGTTTTGGAGAAAATCCGTAGCGCACGTACAGGTGACGACGACGAAGGCGACGGGAGACGCATAGTTTTCCATGCGTCCATGACCTAGCGCCTCGCCGACGCGCCGGTTGGCGACGAGCCAAGTACCGTGTGCGCGTCGGGTGTGCTCTAAAAAAATCGTAAGGCGTTCCTATATGTTTTCCACGTCAAAATTTACGACCCGAAACCGACACCTGTTCGATTCACTCCGAGATCCCAAACGGAAAGAGTCAACCGCGATACCGATCTTTCGATATGGATTGCCGATTATCTCTTGGACGCGGGCTCACGGCTAGACGCATCGGATATTATGCAATGGAGATTATTAGTTGGAAGAGCCGCACGCGACATGGACATTGAATTAATGCCGCTAATTATAGTATAAGAGATAGAGAATAGGCAAACGAGCGGGGAATTGACATTTGCTGTGAAATCACTTCCGTATATGTATAGGTACCTATACATTGGTATTTTAGGACTTTTTGGGACATTTTTTCATTTTTTCACGTTATACGTTATAAGCTTTGGTGAACTCTTGAGTTGAATATATATATATATTTATTTTGTGGAACCGATCAAACACATAAAAGACACACGCACACAAATTGTACATGCAGATGTATAGCCGAGGGATCCACGTGTGGCGCGCAAATTAGCGCGCTTATAAATTTTCACGAGAAATCTTGGCATCGCGGTTGTGGCTTGTAATTTTGAGATGACCTCGCCGATGAATATATATATATATATGCTTGTACCTGTATGCGTTTTTTTTTTTTTTTATCCACACACACACCTAATCCTCCGATTTCGGCTCGTTTTTATTTTCCCAAGGTACAAACAGACGAGATTCAGCTCGAGGCGCGTGAGGAAGCGCGTGGTCTTCAAGCACGGCGACTGCAACATCGTCCAGGGCAACGTCGCCAAGCGACGGCGCCGCTATCTGCAGGTACACACAAGTACACCACTTATTGTACGCCGTATATCATTTCGTGCGCACAATTTTACTATTTTGGACAATGGCCCGAATCCACTTCTTTGTCCGAGCTTTCGATTAATTATTATCAATATTACTGTTGTTTTGTCAGTAATAACACAAGCGATGAAGAAAAAAAAATATATATATAACGCGATTCGGAGTAATCATTGATCTCGTTGATTTCGTGATGCATTATTTTATTATTTAAATCTTTTTAACGAGCAACCTTGTACATGAATACAAATATAATCTATATATTATAATAATACGTATACCTTATGTGTGTATACTTGAAAATATTTGTACGAAGAACTACGAAGAAGAATTGCTGGGCAATTACTGAACTAATTGACTGATCCAAAAAATTAATCGGGTTCTCTGGTTTAAGAGAATAAATAAAGAGGCAATGGTTAATTGTACAAGTATTGATCGCGCAGGATATATTCACAACGCTGGTCGACGCCCAGTGGCGCTGGACGCTCCTGGTCTTCGCTATGACATTCCTACTGTCCTGGCTGGGCTTCGCCCTCGTCTGGTGGCTGATCGTCTACGCCCACGGCGACCTCGACCCGAGGACCACCACCGAGCCCGGCTCCAACGTCACGATAACACCCTGCGTCGAGGACATCCACGGATTCACCAGCTGCTTTTTGTTTTCCGTCGAGACGCAGCACACGATAGGGTACGTATGTACATACATGGGTAATGTCCCTCCTCCTTTTTTTTAATTATTATTATGATAAATGAAAAACCAAAAAATCCTTGCAGGTACGGGTCCAAGCACACGACGGAGGAGTGCCCGGAGGCGATATTCATAATGTGCATTCAGTCGATGACCGGGGTGATACTGCAAGCATTTATGGTGGGCATCGTATTCGCCAAACTCTCCCGGCCGAAGAAGCGCACCCAGACCCTGTTGTTTTCCCGGAACGCCGTGATCTGCCTCAGGGACGGCCAGCCCTGTTTGATGTTTCGCGTGGGTGACATGAGGAAGAGCCACATCATCGAGGCCCACGTGCGCGCACAGATGATCAAGAGAAAAGTACGTCGGTTATTGATGCTCCCTTCATTAGTTGTTTTGTTGAAAAAGTTTGGCAATTGTGATAGACAATGCACACGTGTGTATATGTAGAGGCACAGGGTAATGATTGTGGTGGCTCGTAGGTGACGAGGGAGGGCGAACTGCTGCCCTTTTGCCAGACAGAATTAAAGGTCGGGGGTGACGGCGAGGAGGACAAAATATTTTTCATCTGGCCGACGACGGTCGTCCACAAGATCGACGAGCAGTCGCCCCTGTACCACCTGTCGGCGAGCGACATGCTTCGCGAGCGCTTCGAGATAATCGTCCTACTGGAAGGTACGGTATATACATGTATATCATTGAGGCACCAAACAAATGAGAGTTGATGATGAAATTGTCGTCGCAGGTGTTATCGAGTCGACGGGCATGACGACCCAGGCCCGCTCGTCGTATCTACCCTCGGAGATAATGTGGGGCCACAGGTTCGAGCACATAATAACCTTTCGCAAGGAGACCGGGGAGTACGAGGTCAACTACACCCTCTTCAACAATACTTACGAGGTCGACACGCCCCTGTGCTCGGCGGCCGAGCTCGATCACGTGCGCGCCCTCCATCGGGCTAAAGGAGGTGATGATTGTGATACGGTTTATAACGACTTGATGCTAGCCGATGGCTACGCCCCTTACCGTTGAAGCAACTATACTCCCGCTAAAGCGCTCATCCACGCCGATCTACAATCGCGTCATTATGCCAAACAGGGCTGCAAGATGACTATGCTGCTTGTAGATCGATCAGTGATACATTTAAGCATTTCCATTACAATTTTACAACATAAATGATAAAACGCGCGTATATGAATCGTAACTGTTTTACTGATGATAAAATCGGTATTATTTCTGTGCGCATTCGATCATCGCTTTGATACAACGGCCCCTAGTATGTATATCCTCGGCGCTTGGCATTATACGCAATCGATGGATGCATGTTATTAAAAGAAAAAGAAAAAAAAAGAGAAAAAGTAATTGCATACGTTCAGATGATTAACCGTTGCGGGTGTTGATGCAGAGCGCACGAGCTCGGCGACCTTCGCACCGTACCGGATCGACTCGAGCAGTTCGTTCACGTCGGGCTCGGGCTCGAGTCTTGCCTCCTCGCTCGGTGGTCTCCAGATGCACGCCCACGCCGCTACGCCACCTACCCCCATACCTGTCATGATCACCGCCCCCGACGACTCGCCCTCGAGACGCGGCAGTGCCACCGGCAGCTTCACGATGACCACCGATCCCCGGAAGAAGTTTGCCACCTTCTACACCCTCGACGAGGTGACAAAGATTACTAATAGTACTTTTTTTTTTTTTTCTTCTTTTCTTTTCTTTCTTATGTGTACATACATAATCGTTGACGCATTGTTTCCCTTAGCAATTGCGACGGTGATGGTGCAACCACAATAATATGATGAACAACTTTCAGACGATCGAGTCAAACGAGCCGGCCGAAGTAGCAATACCGATCGAGGTTGCGGAGGAGCTCTCCAACGTGACCGAAGAGGAGGAGGAGGAGGAGGAGGAAACCGAGGTATCGAGGGCCCTTATCGATCGATCCGAGTACGACAGAGCTGTGGAGGACGTGAACGCCAGTCTCCGGCATAGTCGGCCGCAGTCCGTGAAAAATTCATCATCATCGTCATCGGCAACAGCTGGTGGTTCGAAAAAAATGTCGAGGGAAGGCTCGCGCACGACTCTGTGCTCGTTGAGGAACGACTCGAGGGGCAACCTCGAGGGCATGATGAAAAAGTCACCCTCCCACGCGGCACTGCAGGAACTAAGGTGACCCTCCGGTTACATTTTTACCACACCTTTTGTACAATTGGTGTTATCGAATGTACATATTTTGTAATTTTAATACATGTACCATTGATGAAAGAAGGGGATCGGTGCCTTATTGTAATAATTACGCGAAATCAAGTTCGCGATTATCGATTATCGTGTATAATCGTTGATAAATACATGAAATTGTTGTTTTTTATCAATACACAATATAAATAAATGTATACTCCACGATACGTGTAATTATATATGTATATATATTTCTGTACCAACTTATACACGTAGTTATTGCATGTTATACCTGTATGCAATAGGTATGCGTATATATGATACGTACTCGCAATTAGTATACTTAACTGTCGTTCTTTAACCTCTGCTGCTCCTGTGTTGCGGTATTTTAAAGAAAAACCATAAGATGTATAAGGTGTAATGTTAAAACAAAGATACAATATGACAAAACTGCATCAGGCAAGCTAAAGCACCGGCAACGCGACGTCCCAATGCAACGGCCAGTCATCCGCCGCATCACAATCATCATCATCATCATCATCATCACCATCATCACCAGCAGGAGCATCACGAGTTGGGGAAGAAAACGAGCTTCCAGCTGGTACCGCCCGAAACGCCCCAGGAGTCCCACGCGGCTAATCCGAATAATTGCAACGCGGCCCGACCCCAGCAGCACCAGCCCATCAATAAGCAGCCCGTTTAAGGTGAGTGAGCCCAAAATAACTCTACATTATCAATATCGGCTGTAAGTTGTTTTTTTTTTTTTTTTTTTTTTCTTCAAACCAGTATACATTAGCTCAGAGTTTTAGGATTGAAAAAAAATCGGCGTGTGTTTTTTTTTCCCCCGTAAATGTTAGGAGGAGAAATGTAGAGTGTATGGTATACACAGATTGTACTTGACAGGGGGAGTGAGAGAGAGCCGCTAATTAATAGTCAATTATCCGCGTCGTAAGCGTATACATGCAGTATGGGGGAGCAGCCGGCGCAGCTTTGCTCGTATATATATACGTATACACACAAACCTATGCAAATATAGGTATCATGCTCGCTTTGACGGTCCTTAAAAGAATCGTGAGGGAAGACGGATGGTACGTGTGTGTATAGCAAAGACGCTTTTTTCATATATGGTACAAGATGACTCGATAGGTATACATATACATATATAGCACATCAGTGTATACGTATAACATAGGGGGGAGCGTGCGACGAGAGAAGGGCATAAAACGGGAACGAGATCGCCGAGATTAAACAATTGACTGGCGTGATAACAACGAGGGCACTTCCCGCCACTGAACTAGTTGATCTAGTTCTGATCTAAAGAGCACCACGCACGAGTTTGTATATACATAAATATACTTACAGATGGTGGTGGTGGTGGTGGTATAGACAAAAAGCCAGCCAGTAGCACGTGATTCTATAGCCCTTCGTTCAATCTCGCCATCGCCTTTCGTTGTTTTTCTCTATTCTTCACTTTTCCTACAGTATCGATGCGCAAGTTATTCATCTGAAAAAAGGACAAACAATATTACTTATCAACGAAACGTGATGGATTGACGATGAATTCTCAAAAATGAGAAATTGTATGACGTATACAAGTAGATATATGTACATAATAACTGTGTACCATACAATTATCATGTAAGTGCAGGTGAAAAAAAACGGCAAATAAGGCGGAGATCGCGGGTAAAAAATAGAAAATGGCACGTGACTTGGTGGCGTGCAACACAATTGAAAAAATCACGCGTAGTATGTAGTATATAAGGTACTGCTAATGATGTACTCGAGTGAAAAAAATGCATGGAAATTATGAAGGCGCGCCCTTGATGGTTCAACGTGGATCAACCTCTGTCTCCATAAAGTAACATCTATATACTCGCCACCTTCACACGAGACGGCGGAAATTCTAGTGCACCTATTAAGAGCGGAAAGGTGTCCGAAGGTCCCTCCTCTTTACAAATATACGCAACCAGAGACTCTTTTGCAGCTGAGGGACAGCTTTAAAATTTAAATTTTGCGCTGCGCGGTCGTCTTACGCGTAATATAATGGTGTATAATAGTGTCGCTATGATTATGATGACACTCGAGAGCTTGCGGAGCCGATTCCCGAGCGGATATCGCGTTGACGGAGGCGCAGCTATATGTATTCCCAAAAACTAAAATAAACTCGATGACGGTTATTGTGTGCATGGCGACGAATGTTGGATGGTCCACGCTCGGATGGAATATCGATTTGAGCTCGAACCGAGTCTGACGTAATACCGATCGTTGATCCGAGACATCAATGCCTCGAGCAAAATAAACATGACGACTCAGTTAATGTTGATTCTCCAAGCACCCTCTTCGATCACTGTTGAAAATCGGTTCAATTTTTAACTGGCTATACCCATCGGTTCGCTGAAATTACATTTGGCTCAAACGTTTTGATAACAAGACATAAATCTTGACGATCTCGGCCCTATGTTCTAACTTTTATGACAATGTCCGTTATGCGATACTTGCATTATTCACGAAGATGAAGCGGTTTAAAGTCTTGGTTGAGTTCAGAGCATAGCCGAATCTTCTTTTTTCGGGCTCTCAGTAGTGTGGAGGCTAATCGTTTCAAGTAAGCACCAAAGAAAATTTTTTGTTTATTTTCATGATCACGGAACATCGCACTTTTCACGATGTATTATTTACGGAGACATAGCGATCCGAGTAAGATCTTGGTTATTATTAACCGAAAAACATTGAACTCGGAGGAAAGCCGTTTTCCGTAAAAAAAAAAAAAAAAGCGAGATACCTTGATACCTTGAAAATCGCGAGTGGGCTCCATCACTACCACCGTACGGGTGTATATCTATCGCGCATATACGTGTGTTCTCTTTGACATAAGAGCCTCATCGTCTCGGGTGAAGAAAAAAGGTTAAGGTCGCGTTTACTCCAATTACGACAATGGAGCGACAGCTACTCATCGTCGCTTATACGCCCGTAACAATTCTCTTGTGGGCTATAATTGCTCTTTTTTCTCTCTTCCATACTTTTCTTGCAGCCAAGCTAGCCGTCAGCTTAGTTTTGTTTTTAACCATATAGGCGGACTCTTCTGACATCTCTCTCGTGTCACCGTGTACTCTCTCGTTACGCACCTACTTGGCAGAGAGAGGATTTTTTTTTTGATGGCTCAAATGACACATGACACACTTTTTTCGGAAGTGACGCGCAAGTGTATACACTTATTATATCCACACCACTTTGGTTGTTTTAAGACAAGCTTCCTCCGCAGTGGTAACGACAGAAAGACAGTAGTTTATCTATACACCACTCATTGCACTGGGTATACCATACGGGAATTCAGCTGTGTATAGGTACACGTAGAACTTTTTTTTTTTTTTTCATTCACAAGCATTGGCCAGAAAAAAAATAATAATAAAAAGAGTTGTACAACAGTAAGTATAGGTATAAATTTCACGCTGTGGTTTTCGAGGTGACGCAGAAAGCAAAGTGGCTCCTGTAGCCCGAAAATGTTGCAAAAAAACTGCGAGTGGTACCTTCTATGCTGGATATTCGACACCGCTAGCCGATTTCCGCCAAATATACCTACCTCGCATTGACAGAATTGAAAAATAATATGGATGGTAGACGCACCGCACGCGTATAGTATAGGTATCACTTACGCACACTCCGTGCCTATTATTATTAAATCTAACTAGTGCTTATATTTTGTGTATTTGTATCGTAAATGGATATACGCGTGAATCGCGTGCATATCAGACATGTACGTATAGGCATCAAAATTGCAGTGTTTTTTTTTTTTTTTTTTTTTCGAACTGTAACGAGGATCCTTTTGCCGATTGCACAATCGTACACGTTTGTTGCACGAACGCGAGCACCAAGGTATACATTTGTTTGGTTTGATTTTTTTCTTTTTTAATTTTAATTTTGCGTTTCCTCGTGTTATTGCGTGTTGGGAATGTAAGTGAGCATAACGTTTACAGTGCCCACGTATGCATATATAGATAGACACCTACCTACGGAGAGGAAACCGCAGACGGAAGTGAAGCGCGGCTCGACCTCGATAAGCGATACCCGCGTTGTGTTTTATCTTTCTGCACGTGCTCGCGAGCATATAGGGTACAACACACACGCGTTGGCCGCGTAACCGGAGGAAGATGCGTTTTAAGGAGATCAGCCCGATTATACGCGCCTAATTATGTGTAGGTATACCGCGCGAGAGGCTCACCGAAGGAGATGAGAACTCGATCTCATCCGCGGAAGAAGGTGCTGGAACGCGTTGTTTTTTTTTTTTTTTTTTTTTTAACGATACTCGCGCGCGCCACCTTACTTTTACGCGGTTAATACACTCTTCTCTCGATTGTTATTATTTTTTTCTTCTTTTTTTTGTTTTTCCGTACCAACACGCGGTGCCCGTCTCTTTATTTATTTTTCGTCCACGCCTCACAAAGATGACATCAGAGAAAGAGAGAGAGACCGGTGTTTCCTTTCTTTCGCTCGAGCCGTAGCTGCAGCCGATTGTTTTGCATGAAATTTCAGGTATCCGCGACCGGTGCTGTGGGTGAATCATTCGGGCCGATGCGATCGAGATCGGTGACCCCTGGGAGGACTCAACTTCAGGGGGTCCCGGTTTTTGAAAAAAAATCGGTAGGCACCAGAGATCGTTGTGTCGCCGGTGCCCCCGTAAAAAAATATGCGTGAAAAAAAGAGGGAGTTGGTATACCTATACGGGCACACGCTCCTCCCTACTGCTCCGCCTCCTCCCTCTCTCATGGCAGAAGCGGCAACCCGCGGTTTCTGAAAAAGCAGTAGTAGGTACACGTCAGCTGCTCACGGGAGGGCCATCCACTAGTCCGCCGCGGCCCGCTCAGCCGCTCGTTGGTACATTACATACTTACTGTACTCACCTATAAGTACATGGGCAAATAGGTAGCACATAAATATCTCTTCATTTTTTCTATCCGACATTTTCTCAATTTGTATACACTTACGCCCGGACATTGTCATGTCAAACACACGCGCGACGCACGCGATAACGAAAGTCGCTATACATGTATTATTGTGTGACGTTATTTTTTATTTTTTATTTTTTTTTGGTCGCTGTCAAGTTGTTTTTTTTTAATTATTCAGGATATATATATAAACATATGATTAAAATCGAGTCGAAAATAAATATCGTCAACGGATTTATCTGGTGACTCAAAGTAAATATTATCCAGCACAAAAATACACGCCCAAAGAAAGAAAAAAAAAAAAAAAAAAAAAAGAGCCGATGTAATTGTGTCATTGTCGCGTCGGGCGGTGGTAAGGAAAAATGTTCTTACGATGGAAAAATGAAAATTTTGTAGTACCAAACGACGACGAAGGGACCGAGCCTCCCGCCCGATAGAACCAAAATTGAGGAAGGAAAAAAAAAAAAAAAAAAAAAAAAGCTCCACCTTTGAAAGCCATGACCGAGCGCCATCGAAATCGCGAGCAGTCGCCGATCTAGATTCTCGAGTTTCGGCACCGAAGAATGGCCGATGATCAGCAGCAAAAGCTCTTCCGGCTGCCGGGCACCATCGAGGAAGAGGAGGACTGCGAGCGCGAGCACCTCCAGGACCATCAGCAGAACAGGTCCTCGAGGCCGGAGTCACCGCTACTCGCCACGAGGAACAACATCCACATTGTCTCGGCTGGCATACCGAAAAACGTCACCCTACTGCGCGTCAACACCCAGAGCAGCAGCATTGCCGGCATCACTCGGCAGGACTCCTCGAGGTCAGACGCTTACATATTATAATACCCCATAGCTACGTATCGCCGCGTTGAACGTAACACATTCACGTCCCGATAAATTAGCGATCCGAAAAAATAATACCGATCGCCCAGCATAGAGTATACATATACGTATCGGTATGAACTCCAATACGATGCACGTACCTATATACCTATCATTAGCACCACGGCGACCATACACCAGACGTAATAACCGATCGAGCGATCGTGTCTGGAGGTCGCCGTGGATCGGCCTTATAGCCGTGCGCGTAACTACCCACCTCCGCGAGCGGAATTCCTCTCTCTCTCTCTCTTTCTCCGCGGAATTAGAGATCCGATAAACGAGCAGCATGGCCTCTCCGCTAACAGCCCCGTGGCCGGAGCAAACGCGAACGATGTGTATGAAAGTTACGTGATCGGTATAACGTAATTCGAGCGACGGGGCGATACCTGTACGATTGATCGAAAAATTACCTCTCATCCTCAATTGTCTCCGTCACTTTGCTATACAGCTCCCCATCAAACACTCGTATAATTCACACGAGCTTGGGGAAACAACGATACGTGTCTTCCGATTAAACTGCGGTTGGCGGTGGGTTTGTTTTATCGTTTGATCGCGCGAGTCTGCGAAAAAACAAACAACTGCATCAACTTGACATGCGAAAGAGCAACCGCGCTGCCGCGGTCGTATACTAATTGATACCCACCAATGACAGCCTCGACAATGTCATCGTCGTTTCCCCGAATTTCAAGCGCTGCATCCTATTTCCGTGCATATGCTTTTTATACGTATTGTACGGTAGGTAAGTGTACATACCCACTTGTTACATTAACGCCCAATCCTCTCCTATATGTATACTGTCCGCTTATCACCAGGCGCTGTATATAATATGTACACGTATGGCCCTTATTCCTTAACCCGCCGCTTCGTCGAAATCAGCGTCATATTGTGTATACATCAATCGCTTGGCTACTGCTCCAAGCGCGACATAAAATATACGTATGCATATACATATACATATACATGCATATATATATGTATATATAGGTAGTGACAACAGCAGCATCATCATCATCATCAGTATCACACACGGCGTGTGCACTTATATGGATGATGTGCTTACACTGGTACATACGCACGATATGTATATTGTGCATTTGTGTCCAAGAGAGAGAGAGAGAGAGAGAGAGATGAAATTTAATTTGATCGGTGCTGGCGGCGCGCTCGGTTGCATGTTACAATAGCATCACTATACCAGTGAGGACAGATGCCGTGAACCGTATAATTTACGTATAAAGGTACAGGTATATATTAATATGCCGTACCTGGTCGCGGGCGCGTGTGACTCGTACATACCACCTTTTGCACGTATAGTTGGTATACTTGTATTAAGGAATAAGGAAGGAGGATATGCTCGTGAGGAGGATACCGGGGACTCTTGGTGTTGGCGCGGATAGCAGGAGCCGGAGGCGCAAGAGGGACATTTGGTTCGTTTGATAGTTTTTTTTTTCTTTTTCTTTTTTTTTTTTTTCCACGCAAGCGAGAGAAAAGTAAGAGATGAAAAAAAAAAAAGGAAAGTTAAAAACGGCTCATATACACCTTTGACACGAAATTACGCATCATCGCGATACCCATCGTCTATACATGTATAATTGAGACGTCAGCCGATCCGCACAAGTACTAGACGATAAAGCTCACTCGGCGTCGTCAAACGCTGCCGCGATTCACAAAAAAACGTGATTGCGAATGACGCGCTCGTTGTTTCATCTCTTCGCGCTGCTATAGTCGTCTCGGATGTAATAAAATTATGATGCTGTCGCGATATAATACCCATCCATCTGTACTGCTTCTACATTCGTCTCGCGCTCGAGCGTCCCATTGCAGGTGTATAGGTATATTATATCAGAGTAAAATTATTATTGCGCGTGAATCATAAGAAAAAAAAAAAAAAAATCAAAAATAAATAAAATCTGGTGGAGAAGGAGTTAACGAGGAAGCGTAAAAATGATGGGCGATACGTGCATCTGTACGATAATACATGTGTGTGTATATACCGAGTGTGGCTGCACGCATATATGCTGATGGTCCGCTTCCGTTTCTGCATAATTAAATGTTAAGCTTCCGCCGGGCCCTCCCGTATACCGCGTTGCCGTACCGATCATCATCTCGGCACGACGTCCACCATGAACGATTACAACCAAACAAACAAACAAGCAAGTGTTTATAGGCGCAAGCAGGTATATTTATTAGCTGTGAGTCAACTGGCAACCTTTTTTTTTTCCCACTTCCGCAAATAACGATCGATAAATTTAAGAAAGGTGAGGTACATACGGTTACCGATCGCGTTCGGTATATAAATATACACGTGTAGGTATGGTTACAGGGTGCGCAGGTGTTTTAATATGCGACACACGCAGCTCGCACGTAAAACTCTGATGGGCAAAGCGCGATCTTGAAGGCCCCGCTGACGAATGGCAAACGTATACATACACTTGAAGAGAGGGACGCCTCAAAAGAACAGATAAGAGCGCAACACGTATTTATATATTATTACATGGGTATGCGCGCGTGTGCGTGTTGTATTATATACGCTGGCGCGTCAATGCTGCTGATAACTCGTTTGAAGAGCATTCAAATATACGTATATAGAGACGCGTGTACCTTTACTGCACTGATGTATACTTGTACGTGTGTACTGCCGCGCGAAAAAACACCTTCTCCCTCTCTTGTGTACCTACTGTATTACGTTAAATTCGCACGTGGCAGCGAATAAACAGAGTGCAACAAGAAAAAAAAGGTTCCGATGCTGGCCTATATAAGCGCCCCGGCAGTCGTTCGCGAGTTTTGTACGAACGCGTTTGGGGAGACGAGGAGAGAGAGACGATATATAATATATATATATATGTATACGTAAGATCGGCACTTCTCTGCTCCTAGCTCAAGGTCGAATCGTCTCGGCCACTGATAAGCCGAGGGGATACTCACCTATACACATGTGCGATTCTCGGGTACTCGTATCTCGGACGAGCGACGGCTTCGTGCGCAAACATCATTGTTCTTTGTTTTCGCAAAATCTTTGAAACGCGAAGAGAATCAAGCGATAATGAACCGAGAGTTCGAGAAAAACGGGGCGCAGCCGGGCTCACCCGACAGCGTTGCCGGCGACCAGCAAAAGTTGTTGCCCATGTGGAACCCGAGGCCGGCCATCGTTGTCCAGAGCCAACGCTCGAAAAGCCCGAATTTGTCCTATAAGAGCAGGTACCTGTACCATTTTTATTTTTTTATTTTTTTTTTTTTCATTGCGCTTCTTTCCCTTTCCCAACCCCGCTCGCGTGCCTTTAGAGCACATCTCTCTCTCTCTCTCTCTCTCTTTTTTTTTCCAAGTGCACTTGTTATCTTGTTTCGCGACCGAGCCAACGGTGCTTGAACAATATCATCGAGAACTCGCGGTACAAAGGTAACGTTTTGCCCCGTCGGAGCATACTTATCAAATGTTTTGTTTTTTCTTTTTTTGCTCTTTGCTAATTACTGCGTATAAAAGAACGTGTACGGTGACGAAATTTGCGATTTTTCACCGTCTTATCTCTCTTTCGCTTTTTTATGATGAATTCCCGCAATGAGCTCCGTGCTCGGTGCAACGATAGATAAGCGATACAATGGGGGAAAAAAAAAAAAAAAAAAAAAAATGAAAGGTGAAATTGAAGGATAAACGCGTTGTTGGTCGTAGGAGCAGGTACCGGGCGGGGCCAGCGCGCAAGTTGCGCCGGCGGGCCGTCCTCAAGAGCGGCGAGTGCAACGTCCTCCAGTCCCGGATATCCCGGCGCTCGTTGCGCTTCCTCCAGGACATATTCACGACCCTCGTCGACACCCAGTGGCGCTGGACCCTGCTCTGCTTCGCCCTGAGCTTCGTCCTGTCCTGGCTGGTGTTCGCCGGCATGTGGTACCTCATCGCCTTCACCCACGGGGACTTTGACCCCCGCCACATCAACGACGTCAAATGGCGGCCCTGCGTCAACGATCTCCACACCTTCACCAGCTGCTTTCTCTTCTCCATCGAGACCCAGCACACCATCGGCTACGGCGGCAGGTCCACCACCGAGGAGTGCCCCGAGGCTATATTCGTCATGTGCGCCCAGAGCATATCGGGCGTGATGATCCAGGCCCTCATGGTGGGCATCGTCTTCGCCAAGATGTCCCGCCCGAAGCAGAGGACCCAGACGCTGCTCTTCTCCAAACAGGCGGTCATTTGCCAGAGGGACGGCGAGCTGTGTCTCATGTTCCGGGTCGGTGACATGAGAAAGAGCCACATCATCGGGGCGAGCGTGAGGGCCCAGCTGATCAGGTCGCGCACGACCAAGGAGGGCGAGGTGCTGCCCCACAACCAGTACGAGCTCGCTGTCGGGGCCGACGGACAGACCGCCAACTTGTTCTTCATCTGGCCGTGCACCGTAGTCCACCGCATAAACGCCGACTCGCCCTTTTACAACATGTCGGCCGAGGACGTGCTGACCGAGCGCTTCGAGGTCGTCGTCATACTCGAGGGTACGATCGAGTCGACGGGCCAGACGACCCAGGCGCGCTCGTCCTACCTGCCCCAGGAGGTGCTCTGGGGCCACAGGTTCGAGCCCCTCGTGAGCTACTCGAAGGAGAGCCAGGGCTACGAGGTCGACTACTCGAGGTTCAACTCGACCGTGCAGGTCGACACGCCGCTCTGCTCCGGCCGCGAGCTCGCCGAGTTCTATCGGCTCCAGGACGGGGTCATCCGACAACAGGCTACCTCATCCCCTGGTACGTAAACACCCACCTACGCCATACAACAACATATATATATCCTCATCCGGCCACAGCTCTGTGTCGAATATTGTGCTTAGCTAACACTGTTTTTTTTCTTTTTTTTTTTTTTTCCGCCTAATTAATTGCCACAGCATGCTCGCAAAAATAATTTTTTTTTTTTTCAATTGGTGCTTGGTGTCATTGTCTGTCTTTCTTTCTCTCTCTTGGTGTGTACGCAAAACAGATGGAGTCACGCTGCGCGAGGTGCCGAGCGGCAGTTTGGACGGCAATCCACCGGGACTCGCCCTGACGATGCCTGCAGCCTCGAGTCTACTCCAGTCGATGGGCCCCCAGTCATCCGCAAAGCTCAACATTGACATTCCTCACATCGACCAGAGCCCCGATCTCTAGCCATCCCCTCTCTTTATATCGATTCCTTGCATCTAATACCTCTAAAAACCTCTTTTAGTAATGTACAAAAAAACGTTGTCAACTGCCTATGGGACATCTATTGTGTATGTGTATACCTAAACTGGTATGTACATTGTCCTGTGGGAAGCTTTTGATCGTGCATCCTTGGGGATATTTCACGTTAAAGGTGCGACGAAGCTTGACTTGTTACATGGTTGCGGTGTACTATGCATGTATATTATAAAAACAATGAGGCTCATTATGAATGTGTATACTAAAAAAGAAAAAGAAAAAATACAAATTTACTCTGGTGATGAATTGAACGAAACAAAAAAAAAAAACAAACCAAAGAAGGGTAAGGATGGTGAACCGACCAACAGAGAGAGAGAGAGAGACGAGTTGGTGCAAATTCCGTGATTCCAGGTTTGCTGATGGACGACGAGCTCGCGTCCACCCCGACGCTCTCCGAGTACCGACAACTGCCGAGCCGCTGCCATCACCAGCAGCAGCACCACCCCTCGGCAGCCGCTTTCGTCTGCAAGTATCCCCAATCCTCGAATCAGCGGCACGCTAACCTGCACCCGCAGCAAGCCCAACGGCCTCGCAGCTTCGACGAGGAGAAGAGCTATTGTCCCGAGTGCGCCGCGGCTCCCCCACCTTACGGCCACGCCAACAGACCGTCCATCAAAGACGTCCCTCAACCCGAAGCGGGAGGGGAGGAGGAGGAGGAGGAGAGGAGAGCCCTGTTGAGCAAAACGAGTGGTCGGCTGCATCGTCAACAGCTCGGGCGACAAGTGTCCTCGCCGCATCAGCTGGACAGCAGGAAGAGGCCGGGGTTCCACTCGTGCCAGGATCTACTGCAGCGCCCGCGGGCTTCTTCGAGGCGCTACCTGCTCCTCGCCCTGGAGAACAGCTTGGGCGGCGAGCTGTGCAGCTCCTATCCCAGCGTAGCTCTGGCTCGCAAGGAACACCCGTCCCCCCTGCGTCCGATGGCCACGGGGGACGATGGCAAGCCCGCGATGCAGACCAGAAAACCCGTAGGTAGGGAGCTCCAGGAGGTCGTCGTTCATCGGTTGCTCGAGAACGGTGGCAAGCTATCTTTGACACTGGATGACCGCAAGTCGCTACGAGGGCACGGTAGTGAAGGTAGCTGCGAGTCCAATAACAGCTCGACCGAGGCTGACGACGACGGCTCATCCTCGCCGATCGCGATCCAACGACCTGCGGCCTTCACGGCCGTTTGACCCTTAATTAAAACGTGTGTGTGTGTAGTGTATACACATCCATACATATATGTATGTATGCACGAGAACAACCGACAGTGCGCGACTGATGATGGAACGACGATTTTTGCCTTTACTTGCGTGCCCGCACAACATATTATTATTATACATATATAGAGATATTAATTGAGCGCGTATGTGTGTTTACAAATAATATCCTCCATATGGCATTCCGTTGCGACACTATTTTTTTTTTTTTTTTTTTTTTTTTTTTTCATCGAAAATTCTAAGGCGTATGGCTGTGGTAAACTTTGATGGTATCTTTCAGTAGTGGAAATTTTTTGAGGTGTGCATCACCCTCATCGGTATTTGTCGGGAGGAGAAAAAAAAAGAAGTTTGCGTTCTTTGCAGGGAAAAGGACGAGTAAAGTTTTTTTTTTTTATAAGATAAATATTTTCAAGTTTTTCTTTTCTTTCTTTCTTGTGGATTGCAATACTGCAGTGAATCGGAAACAATTCACATTTGTATGTATTTTTTATTTAGGACAAAAGAAACGACGACAATAATATGAAGCAAAAAGAAAAAAAAAAGACAATCAACTGACCGGTGAGTTTTCAAATTTAAATTTTCACGACTTTATCAACAATCGTTGATTATTTCGACGATCGAATATTTCGAAAAATATTGGGGTACTTGTTCGATGGGATCTGCGCTGTTGTGGGAGCTGATTAGCTTTACAAACGAAAACAAACACCTATACTGCATTATGAAAAAATGTAGAAAGAGATTTTTAAGCGACCGGTAGATCATCGCGGGACGATAAATTACTTCCGGTTAATAATTATAGGACTACGAGACAATAATTTAATGCCAATTATACAAAGTTTTTTTAGCTTTCTAGTATAATATTATATAATATTATATATATATATATAGGAATCGATGCGAATATCGTGTGATAAATATTTATGTATATCACCATGGGGTGACTGTGTATGTTCTTGTAATATATACGGTACCAACATGTTAAATAAATTTTGTTTTTT